AATGTCGCTCGCAAACTACTGAACGAGCCGGGTGCAAACAGGGGGAACTGCTGATGCATGCCATCAATCCGGTGATTATTTCCACTTGCCAAACTTTTTTACCCAGGGTGAATGGGTTAAACAAATGTTAAATGTTCCATTCGTGACCCATGGCTGGAAGAATGTCTGATCCAGGCAGGACTCAATTTCCATGCTCAAGTTCCTATTCCTAACTGCCATGACCTTACTGAGGACTGCATGAAAACCTAAAATATAGAAGTTTTAAATTGGAAAAATACTTGATTAAACCCAAAAACATTAACCCCTATGATTCAGGTGATATGACCCATCACATAATGAAAAAAATTGGCTTGAAGGCTGGTTGATTTGAAAAGACTATCATAAGAGTTTTGGCTGAAGGCTGGGTTGAAGGGAATGACTTGCTATGAGTGTACAAAACTCTGGGAAAATTATTAGACTCAGGTGGCATTTAGGAAGGGGCCTTTGTATTATTCCTATTGGTAAATGAGTGTGAAATGTGCCATGTGCCATGACTTGATGAGCACTAGCTCCAGGGAGAATGCATTTCCATGCACATGATCCTATTCTTGCCTGCTGTGGCTCGCAGTGCAGATTATATTACAAAAAACTAACATTATGAAAAAATCTAAAAATGACACAAATAACAAAATGTTATTTACTGTTATTATTACTGCACTGACTTATGGACTAACTAGAGAGATGACATGGAGTCTGTAAAAGGAGAGCAGTCTACTACTATCTGGATACAGCATATCAGATAACAAAATAGACACCAAAATATGATAAAAAAGGAAAAAAAAAAAACACTAAAGGAGAAAAAGAGATAATAATATTGCAAAGGGGAGGAAAGGAATTTTGACACTGCACATGAGTGTTTGCATCCACCATACAATCCAGACACATGTGACAGTAGACATTTAAGTAAGCTTAATGCCTGGGTTTTGGGCCATTTGTGAGCAGCATAGTATTTTTATCCAAGGGGTCAGACTGAAATTTTTTTGGATTGAACTTATTCTGAGGCTATAAGGAAATAAAGCGATGAAATCATATAGTGATGGGTGGGTGTGTACATGTGTGTCTGCTTGTGTGTGTTTGTATGCCATCTTTTAAACTAGTATATCTCTTGTTTACTTAAAATATTCTAATAACCTTTTCCCTATTTGATATGTTGCATATGACATATTGCATATGTATAGAGGTTATGATTAGGAGGCAAAGAGAACACTACATGATGACAAAATTCAACTGTTATTATTAAAGTGCTATTATGAGTAATTAAGACACCTTTACTGATTCGTGTTATAATATATCTTGGAGGGGTAAATACAGATTAATGGCATAGTCAAGAAAAACTCATAACTTATAAGCCGTAGTTTATCTACAAAAGGAAAATCCTAGACAATGTACTCAAGTTATACAGTGCGTAATATTTGTAGTAATACTTACTGGTTGGTAAAACTTTCTTGTTGCAAGCTGGGCACATTGTATCGCCTGAAATATATTTATTTTATTATTTCACAGAACCATTAAACATTTCTGTGTACAAAAAAAAACAGGAAAAATACATATAAAGAAACAATAAAGTTATATTTCTCTTTCATAATTAGCAGGACGATTTCTTGTTACTGAGCGACATGATATTTAATTTCAGAAGTTTACCATAAACCGGAAGAGCAGCATTTTGTGTTGACACAAGTTTATTCAGAAGGTTGCTACAGTCAGCAACTAGTATCCTCTGGCAACCTGTCCTTAGTGATATCTATGGAAAAAATTGATGCATTTCATTAGAACACATATCTAAATACATGAACATGCTAACAAAAATGCAAATATCACTTTTGAATAGCTGATAAACACTGCAACCCTAAACAAACAATATGTGAATAAATGCATATATATATATATATATATATATATATATATATATATATATATATATATATATATACACATATATTTACAAAACTGAATTTGTTTTTCTTTATAGATGATAATCAGCAACTTGTAACACACTACTAATATCTAACCTGGAGATGATAATCATGAAGAATTTTGACAAGGGCATCTCTCAGACCGGGAATTTCCAAGCCACGTGGTATTCGTTGGATGATCATGAGGGGGTCAATGTGAGTGCCAATGTTGTTGAGTAATTCTCTGATGTATTCTGATAAGAGGATAAAGTGTTATTAAATAGAGGATACTGCTATACCAATAATCTTCCAAAAACTGTTCTGAAATAAAGTTTAATTCCTAAGTATAAAATGAAATACATTAAATATAGAAAAAGAAAATCAAATAAACTCCCAACCAATCATATAATTTATCTTAAACACAAAGGCAACACACATATGTCCATTCACACAAACACAGAAAAATCTCACCTGGCTTATCAAGAGCATATTCAATTAGACGGTTCCATAGATCAGCATCGTCATGTTCTTTACAGAGGCGAATGGCCCACAGTATATCTTGTTCTTCTTCCAGAATCAATTGCAGAGACTCAATACTGTTGCCCATCCGATCTGTCAGCACCAAGTGAAGCATCAATACAATTACAATAACTATGTCATATGAATAGTCAGAATTATCACATATGATGAAGGTAATTTTTCAAGACAAGTGATTATAGCTCTTGGAATGGAAATGAAGATCATAACAAAACATGGAATTTCAAGATTTCATTCTGCAGGGTATAAGACAGTTGCAATTCCTGGAGAAAAAAGATGCTAAAGCCAAGTCTTTACCAAGGAGGTGTATTGTTTCTGTGGTGAGGCAACGCATCCTGCACACCTCCAGAGCCTCGCTGAGATCATATGAAGAAGACGTCAGCAACAGGGGCAGCAACTTGCTTCGATCCTGGTCAGCATAAAGTGCCACTAACTGGCTGTGGTATTTAGCACTCATGTCACGTCGTCTTTCGTATAACGTGTCCAAGTACTGTTGAGGAATGGCAAGTTCATATTTAATAGCAGAATGGCAGAGTGGAGATATACTATGAAAAGAAAATCAGTAATTTTCAAATACAGAGTAGAACTAAATACATGATGTGTTTGTAAATGTGACTAAGAACTTCCTGACTTTATTAGAGCTAAATTATTAAAGGATCAGTTACAGCAGCATAAAGAAAGAGAGAAAGAAAAGGAAAGAAAAGAAAGGAAACTATAAAAGAATCAGTAAACTCACCTTATATAGGTAATTTGGGTGTGCACTCAGTGAAGTCACAACACTGTCTGGAGGGATAATGTGGATATGTTGGCAACAAATGTCCAAAGTTGCAGCAGAGTCAAGTGTCATAAGCTCCACCACATGCTTGGCCACACAAGCGTAGAGATTGTGGCGACTTATTAAATAAAAAACATCTTTGTGTTTCAGCCTAAAAAATGAAACAAGAAAGAGAAAAAATAATTTAGACATATAGTAATGTTGGTTTTCACATACACAATATCCTTTTTAATTGAAATCTATCTTATATACTGATGGACAAATAATCCTCATTTTCACATATCTTAACAAAGTGTTTTATATAATTGTGGACAAATAACCCTCATTCTCATATATCTAAATAATGTGTTTCATGCCAATATAAAAATACTCTTATATTCGATACTTCTCTTTTTGTACGACTTACTTCAAATATATTGCTAGGGCCTTGTCATGTTTATCAATATTGGAGTAAAGGTGGGCAAGCGCTTGAAGTAAGACCATGTTGTTTGTGTTTCGAGCTAGAGTCTCTAGCACAGCATTGATAACAAAGGACACATTGTAGAGGTGACCTGGCCAGTCTTGGACCACTTGAAGGAAACCCTACGGGAAACATATTTAAAACTTTCATTTTGAAGCTGCATTTTCTATATGTATTTATATATTTTTTTCTTCTTAACCATAGGAGATATCATTAAGAAGGATATTCCTAAATTATTTTTCTTATACTCTCTTGATACTCTCATAGCTATATGAAAAAGTATAATGCCATTAAAGTTATATCATTTCCTGTACATGCTTTCCTGCTATAGAAAATCACTGACCAATAATGAAGCAAAGTCTTGTTTCTCCCTAGTAACAGAAAAGAGCATAAAGGTTATGTACATAATATTACCATGAAATATAGCTAGTTAATACCCTAAACTAAAACAAAATCTTACAGGATGGTCTGTGTTTAGGAGATCAAGGAGCACAGTCTGGTAAACAGCTGGGTCCAAGCGGATGCCTTCACCCAAGGGAAGGTGAGGACTCAAAACTCGCAACTGACGGACGCGATTAAAGCGTACTACAGCTTCCTCCCATAGCACTTTGTCTGAGCCTGTAGGATTAGAAGGTATGGTCACTCACATGCATCCTGAAATTAGTATCTACCAACATAAATTTAATCCATTTTCCAGTAACAGAAACAGTATAATGAATCCATATAGAGGTGTGAAGAATAGATTGTTAGCACTTCAGTTCTTTTAGTCTTGACTTTGAAAATGATATAGTTAAAAACAAACTCCTCTATCCTTACCAAGTATCTGAGTGCATAGCTTGGCAGCATCTTGATATTGACCATTTGCCATCAGATGATCCAAATAAATGCGACCCACACTGAGAACTGTGTAATTTTGCACGTCTCGGCAGGTCTCTACCAGCTGCAACAAAAGTTGAATGTTTAAAATAATTCTCTGTTACATGATATCGTGCTTTATTTCCATCCATTTTGAAAGCATAAATAAAAATGAAATAGGAGGACCAATAATAACAATAATAACAACAATACTATTACTACAACTACTATAACTGCTACAATTACTGTGAATACTACAACACTACTAATACTACTATTACTACTACTACAACTGATAATGATGTAAAAGATTTTACATTTGGTTCTTAACCAGTGCTGCTGGGGAGGAAATGTACATACCATGTCCACTGTGATTTTAAACTATTAATTGAGTTTACACATAGATGACACCAGAAAAGCTTAGTCACCAGTGAGTCAATTAGCCTACTAGTCCTATCTATCTCAATTGTTTCCTAGAAAAGTTATTTCCATCTTTTATTGTTATTATTATTTTAATGACACTAAAGTAAGCATAATGCTAACAATGACAGTATCAATACTAATGGCATAAAAAAAAGAATCTTCTGCAAAAAAATCAAGGAATGGCGAAATCAGGAGAGGTCACATAGGGCCTTGGTGGAGCCACTGATCTATCTATAAACAAAATTCACAAAACAAAATTTCAGTGGACATTACATGTACATGGCTTCAATGGTTTGACTGGAGTAACATTCCTAAACTTTATGGACATGTTCAAATTTTGTGATAGCGTGTTTGGGATATTGTTATCTCTATTGGGTAGGCATACACCAAAGTTATAGTAGTTGCATCTATATTACATAGAAAAAACAAAATTAACTTGTTGCTTTTCACAGAAGAGATAAATACATCATAACTATTTTAAAATGAACAAAAATTGCACATAATTAACTTGTACATATTTGTGTAACATATCAGCAGAGGCGGGGCTTCCATAGTGGCACAGGGGGGCATCTGCCCCCCCCTGAAATCTGATTAGCCACCCGTGTACCCCCCCAATGGTCATTGCTTCCTCGTAATGGCCCCCCTGTATATGTAATGTGGCGGCCCCACCAGATTTATTGTTGTTACCCCCAGTGCCCCCCACCAGAAAGTTTTCTGGACCCACCCCTGCATATCAGTGTTATAATATGATCAATATCTTTTGGAAGGCCAAAAATAACCAAACAAAAGTTTAAATCTTTATCAAATGAAGCTATCATAATCAAGTACTATACATACTAAATTTCTGTAATGTACAACTTTTCTATAATTTTTTACTTTTTACTTATTTTCAAATAGCCTTCCGAGCATAATTTCCATCTCTTTAACTGAAGCCAAGCACACTGATTACTGGATTGAGAATGTGAATGGCTAACTATAATAATAATAATAAAAGCAATAGTAAAAGTAAAAATAATGACAAAAAAAAAAAAAAAAAATCTAATGATGTTTACCACAACTACTACAATTACTAGTGATAATTGTCTTTCCATTTCACTTCATACCTCTAAAGCTTCCTTGTGTTTATCATGCTCTAAAAGCCACTCAATGCGATCATCAGAACTTCTGGGTTTTGCAACTACCACATCCTGTGGACACACGATGTAGAACTGCCGATCCTCGATTAAACATTCTGTCATATTAGAAGACATGAGAAAAAAGAGGAATACAGAATTAAAAGCAATTTAATTTGTAATATCCGAATAACTTTTATCATACAGTATATCAAAACATTTGGGAATTATGCTGTAAGTATTTTCAAGTTCTACATAAAAAAAAAAAAAAAAAAAAATTGACTTTATATAAAATCTGCATTTAAAAAATACACCAAGAGAGAGAGAAAAAAGAGAGAGACAAAGCCTAATGAAATCAGTTTTAGGCACTCAAATAAATATTCTGCAAATATAAAACCTCCTTCTCTACTAACCTAGATGGTAGTTTGCTGGTTTGTATTCCTGATAGCACCTAATACCAAGAACATCCTTTGAGATCTCCTCAAAGGTCCTCTGAAGGGGTTCCAGCACTCGCATCTGTGGCCTTCTTGAGTCCACCCCAAGGCTAGCTAAGGACAAGTCAGTCTGCTTGTTGTAGGCCAAGACTACCAAATGCTCATCAAGAGGACCAACTCCACATACATAGAAGTCAGTAGTGAACATGTAGACTGTACCAGGAAATGGAAAATGGTAGTGAGAAGTTTTTCATAAACATCAATACATATGTGCTAAAAATATTTGTAATGAGTCACAACACTACAACAGGTCCATTAAAAAATTGCTCTCATCAAACAAGAAAATAAATCAATGAAATGAATTAATAAAATTATATATAATAGTCTCTCTAATATTGATACTGCTGATGAATTTATTACATTTTCAAATATTGAAACTTTTAATCTTACATATTGCATTACAATAATAATACGCTACCAGGGTCCTCAGTGCTATACATTTATTGTTTTTTTATATAATAAGATTGATTAAATAATCCGTTTTATTGAAAATATGTGAAGAGTAATTATACTTTTCAAAAGTGTATACTTGGAAAATCCACAAAAAAGACAAAAGTAAAACAAACAAATAATTGCAATAATAATACTGCAAATAGGAAAAAGCTAATGAAAGTTGAAGAAAAACAACATTTGAAAATATGTTTAAAGGATCCACTTTTCCAACAAAAGTACATACCGATTTCCAGGTAGTATGGGGGAAGATCCATCATTCCAGGTGTAAGTGTAGCTGGGTTTGCTGAGCGCTCCCTAACCCGACACACCTTGACAGAGTCTCCCCAGCCAACTATCAGAGTCTTACTGTCTGGCCAACACAAGTGAGGTGGGTACTGGTCACATGGTAGGCTGATGAAATGAAACAAAAAATACTATTAGCGTGTCTCTTATATACATGACTGCAGTGTATATAATTTCTATACTTCATAAATTGACTATAATTTTAAGCATAAACACAAACAATGGTCAATAGCACAGAAACTTGACTAAAAGCATTACTTTGCCAATAAGCCATAAACCATCAAAACAAACAACCACTTCCAAGAAAAAAGAAAAAGAAACACTCGTAATTTCCAATCACTCGTAATTTCCAATCACTCACGCTAGGCTATGATCCCGCTTGATGAGTGTGATGACAGTTTTGGTGTTCATGTCCATCACTCGGACACCAGAGTCTGTTGCCCAGGCGAGGAACTGTCCCATCCATTTCATAGCTCTTGCTGGGCCACTCCCCTCACTCAGGACAGTTGAGCGCAGTTGTCCAAACATCGCCTTCTCGTACAGCACAACCTTTGTTGTCCCTGTAGGGATGGTTCTTTTGATTTTATTTTGTTTGCAAATAATGAATCTCAAATCTCAAATACTGATTGAAAATTCATCTCATGAAAATATTCTTTATTCTTACTGATAATGCTTAAAACAAAATTATGGAATATAAAATAATGATTTCCCAGGAATATTTTACTACTAGACAATAAACAATATGTTTTTTCATACATTTCCTCTTGATTCCTCTACAATACAGTACAAAAGGCATTACAATCAGATATCATTAACAAAGACCAGACCGAAAGCAAAAAACTGACCAACAACAAAGCGTCTGCCAGAGCGTGGTTTATGGTAAAATGGATCAAGTGCGACACTGCGCACAGGAGAGTCCATCGTCAGGTTGTGGGAGTTCTCCACGGTGTATAGACCCTGGATTACAACCTAGAAAGAATCCAACTGTTAAGAGTATCTACAGTTATATTCCCTGTATATTTAATCTTACATCCTCTAAGAATATTTAGATTGCATTACTTGAAATTTATTTTTCACCATGATCTCTGATTGGACTAATCTATTTTTTCTTTTTGAAGAATATCACCCACAATTTAAAAACAAAACCTGTATTTACAAAAGTTATAAGATTCCTAAAATGAAAATAAAAATAATAAAAAATATTGGTATTCTTAATAAGACATAATTTAGAAGAAACATATATATACACAACTCTCTACGTTAACCAAATCCTTCATGATAACAACTAAAGTATTCAGAAGCTATACATATGAAAAATCAATCAAGACTTTTTGCATAATCCTCTTATAATTTAAAGCCCAGCACAAAAAACAACAACAAAAAAACAAACAAACAAACAAAAGGACATATAAAAGAACTCTGAGGGCTCACCTTCCTATCGTGAGAACATGAGGCAACATAGTCCCCATTGTCATCCATGTCCAACATAGTCACAGGGTTGCTATGTGGACTGAATTCCTTTACTTTGTTGCCCTGGTGATCTAAGACATGAATGCGACCCCAGTTGGTTCCAATAATCATTAGCTGAAAATAAAAAGTTTGTTGCATATGTTATTGCATTGTGATTAATAGCTGTTTCTTAGAGTAAAAAAATGAAATCATAGAAAAAAAGCATCCCAATCCAAATAAATATGTGAATCAATTAAATCACATTCAGGAAAGATAACATCAGGTAAAGGCAAGAGAAGAATTTGCTTGAACTTGATTTTTGAAACTGCTTATACTGATGTCATAAATATGGAGGATTTCCAAGCCAAGTGCATCACCTTAGAATTGGCCTTAATGCAGGAAGCTCCATCTCTCTTCAGTATCTCACGCAGATCTCCAGAAATCCTTTCGTACTTTAACTTGGGTTCATCTTCCTCTTCCTCTTCTGAATCCTCCTCTGAGTCATCTCCTTCCTCTGTCTCTTCCTCTTTCTTCTTACTTTCCTCTTTTGAGTCTTGAGAGGAAGATGTTGAAGCCTCCATTGTTATTGCTAAAATGAAACAAAATAAAAAAAAATGTAAGTAATATCATAAAATGACTATAGTTTATATATCTACCTTGTCTTCACTTTTGCTGTCTCCTCTGAGAAGGATAAAAAACGTGTTTGAATGTCAAAATTTCTGAACAACTATTGAAGAAATAGACACCAAAATTCTAAAAATGGTCTCTGTAGTCATTAATAATTCCATTCTGTTCAGAAATTAAATCTGCTACAATCTATCTACAAAACTGTGATCTCAAAAATACAAAGTAATGGATCAATAAAAAAGAGCATAGCAATCTCACATATAAAGGAATAAAATAAAATCAGATTGAAAAGTCTAGTTAAAAAAAAAATCTAAGATCAAGGGAAAAAGAGGAAACCATCCTCTTACATTGCTCTTTAATGTAACTTCAACTGTCACATCAGCTATGCTGATAAGTTGTTGATATTCATACTGATGAAATAGCTATCCTTATAATGGTTTTACTCTGGCCTCCTACAGTTATAAAGAGACATCCATTATATAGACTATGTGGTACAAGTATAAGAAGTAATATATATAAAATGTATGTTTTGCAGTATTCAGACAGTTCTCATTCATCTCTTGGTTAGCGATCCACTCAGGAACTACTCTTGGTTAAATGTA